CATCTGATTTGCGTTTGATAACTGGCTATGATGTAAGTGATTATGATGGGATGATGCGGATGGCGGTGGTGGTGGTGGTGGTTGGTTGGCGGCTGATTGCAGTGCGTTTACGGATTGTTGCGCTTGGGACTGCATCGTGAGAGCAGCCACTGTGGAATGTGCTGAGAGCATTTCGGCGGTTTGCTGGTGATGTGCCGACTGAATAGCGGCGGATGAACTGAGCGAGTTGGCGTGATCGAATGCCGACGAAATTGTTGCTGCTGCTGCTGCGGCAGTGGTGCTGCTGCTGTTGGACGGTGGCGCACTTGTTGACATTATCAAACCCGCATCTTCCTTAAAATTTTCATTCCGGTGAATTTTTCAATCATTATTCCTCTCCCCTCTATTGTTAGTTGTTTCATCAACATTACTGTCACCACCTCTATGGCTGTTACCCCTCGGATTTGATCAGTTCCATTGAAATTTTCGGAACAAACTCATTTGTTATAGTTTACGATTGAATTTTATAATTTGTAATTTTATAACTAATAATTCTAAATTTTTCAATGCATAATTTATAACTCACTCTGATAAGATAATTTGATAATTGAAACATCTGATGATAACTTACATTTTACTGAATTATCACTAAAAAAGGACATTTCAAGTAAGTTTCTCAAGATTCATCAAAAACAACCAAACACCAGCCAATCATAAGCTCAGACGCAAAATAATCATCCGAAGATATTGACTGCATCTTATGAACTCAACAACAAAAAAAAACTGACCTGATTTGGAACACCGATTTGCGATGCGTTACTGGCTCGATTGCCATGACCGTTGGTGCCGTCATCTTCACGATGACCACCATGTGCACCAGCCAACGATGATGCGGAAGCAACCGACGGAAACACTCGCTTCGACGCTACTTCATATCGCCTGAAATTTTGCCGATTATAACTCACCAATCACACATACATATGTGTACGGATGGAGAGGTTGATGGTAGGTGTGAAATTACGGGAATGAAATTAGGAAATCGAATGAATGCTTGAGAGAGGTAACGAAAGTTGAAGACTTTGCAAAATGTGCAAGGGAACGGAAAATTAAGTGGGCAAGAAAAATTGCAACAGTGGACAATAACAACTGGGCGAAGTGGTGCACGGAGTGTCAACCTAGAATCGGAAATAAATTCAAAAAAATAAATCACACATAACCAATAACAAACGAACAACGATTACGATAACACAACTAAGACTGTGAGAAATGAATACATAGATGAAAACGTTTTCCTTTAAGTCAGCAAATAAATTAATTTGTAAAAAAAAAACAAATGAACAGTTCAATGCACGAATGAACGAACGTCACACTGTTGCAAAGTCCCGTTGTTGCGTTGATTTGTTGTTGCTGCTGTTGAGTTTGATGCGATTGCAGATGGAATTGTCTATTGTATCTGGACGACGACGAAGAAGACGCAACGCTAGCTGAACTCGACGATGATGGTCCGGGTTGATCACCACTACTGCTTACAGATGCTGCTGCGGCTGTAGCCTGAACCTTGGCACGACTTTTACGACCACGAATCTTCTCCCGACCGGCGCTACAACAAAAAAACATTAATCTCATACTTCTTGTGAGTATACCCTCATATTGGTATATATCCTCGTCGATCCTCAACTTTAACCTCACAGTGATATCAGTGAATTTGCTAATAAGAGAGGCATAAGTTCGCAATGAGTTGGATTTGCTGATTAAACAAATAAGTAAATAAATAAACATCTTGTCGGCTATCCACAACACTACAAATGGAAACACAAAATCGCATGTTCTCAAACGAATGCCCAAAGAATTA